ATTATATATGTGTGTATATAATGGACTTGTATATTATATATATAATTATACATATGGATACAATTATGTATATGTGTATACATGCCTTTGAGTCAATTCCAACTCATAGCAACCCTATAGGACAGAGTAGAACTGCCCCATAGGGTTTCCAAGCAACAGCTGGTGGATTCGAACTGCCGACCTTTTGGTTAGCAGAAGTAGCTCTTAACCCTTGTGCCACCAGGGCTCCATATAATTATATATACAAAAATAATGAAATATAATGGACTTGTATATTATATATATATAATTATACACATAGATATAATTATATATGTATAACAATGGATTTAGTATATATAATTATATATAAGGGACTTGTATATTATATATATAATTATGCATGTAGGTATATAATTATACATATAGATATAATTATATATAATTATGCATTGCATATATTATATATACAATATATGATTTTATATATATATGTATACATATACATATGTAATTTTTTAAGAAAAAAAATCCGGTGAAAACTGCATAACAACCCTGCAGTCTGCTTTAACTTTCTGATTTTCTCTTAAAATGGAAAATATTAAGAGTGTTACTCATACGATTATTTTAAAAACGGAAGGAAAGGGAGAGCGAATGATTCGCCTTCAGCACCAGAGACAAAAGCAAACCTGTGCTAGAGATGTCTTTTCTCAGGCCTGGGGAACTCTGGGAGAAGCTGAAGCACTTGCTGGGCCTGGGAGAGCCATAGCCAGCCTGAGAGGAAGCCCAGCACTGGGACTTGTGGATGTTGCATTTGGGGGCTCACCCAGGCCTTCTCAGGCCTCACTGCACTCCTGAGCTCCCAAGTCTCACCCCCTCCACCACCACCCAGCCACCTCACCCTTTCCCCAAGTCCTTCCCCCTTGGGGGGATCTTGGACTGTGCCTGACTGAGCCCTGACACAGCCTCATAGTAAGACACCTTTTTATGTGCTCCCAGGTACTTGTTTCCCAGCCTCTAGGGAGAACCTCTGGAAGCTCACAGGAGCTGCGGAGCTATGGGGAGAACAGGGCCAGGCCTCCTGTAAAGGTCATGCCCATCATTAGCACCTTTTTCCCACAGTGCTCCCTGACGAGTCAGCCCCACGACACCCCTGACTCCATGGAAATGCTCTCATCCCATCCGCCATCTGCAGGTAATGTGGACAGGGCCTGGCTGAGCACCTGAGGCCTTCCAGCCCTGAACCTGCTCAGCATTTAAACGCAGAAACAAGAAAGGCACTGAAAATACATAGGGGGTGGGTGGAGAAGTACAGGTATGGTGTTGCTGGGTGGAAACCCCAGGTTCTGCTTGGCATGACTTGTTAGAGCCAATAAATAAGAGGCCGAGGTGAGAGATCAGAAAGATGCCTTTATTTCTTTGTGCAAGGAAAGGAGCAATCGGGACTGCTGCCTCCAAGACTGCTCACAGGCAGTTTGGGGAGTTGCGATTTCACAGAAAGCAGACAAGGAAATGCAAATTCATCCTGAATATTCAGGACTGACCTTCATAAAGGTGCTCAGAGCTTGGGGATGACTGTCATTTTCTCTAGACAAGGGTTCAATTCTCTGGGGTGGAGGAAGAGGTCGATTTTCCTTCATTAGCATGTTAAGTCTCCACCCAGAGGTGGGGTGCTTATATGTATTTTTCACTTAATGAGCTGATAGGTCACTTGATGGTGTAGAAAACTTGCTAAAACTGGTTGAGGTCCACTGCATCTGTTCTGTGGTTATCTGGTCAAGGACAATTTCAGAAGAATGTGCAGCATATTCTGCTAGGTGTAGAAGGATAAGCCAGAGCAGGTGTCGTTGGAATGGTTGGGCTCTGAGGCTGTCTGCTTCAATGGCTTCAAGACACCCCATTATTGAATATTTGCTGTAGAGGAAATAATAAATCAAGGTAATGATCTTTTGAGCAGGCACCTGATAACATTTTCTGTAAAGATAAGCCATTCTCCCCAAAAGCAGGATATTAAACAGATCCATCAACCCCAGGCTAACTAGATTTGCTAAATAAACCGACAATTAATAGATAGCTCCAAAGATAAACATTGTTCAGTGGGGAGTGGCTAAAAGGCCGGAGTTTTAAAAAGCAGAGTTTACTTTAGGGGCTAAAAAAAAAAAAAAACACAAAGCAACAGTTGCCTTTGAGGCAGCTCAGACTTATGGCAACCCCATTTGTTTCAGAGTAGAACTGTGCTCCATAGGGTTTATGTATTTATTTAAATTTTTTTTTATTGTACTTTAGGTGAAGGTTTGCAGGACAAATATTTTCTCATTAAACAGTCAGTACACATATTGTTTTATGACATTGGTTAACAACCCCACAACATGTCAACAGGCTCCCTTCTCGGCCTTGGAGGACCTTTTTTTTTTTTGGTGAAAATATACATAGCCAAAGATACACCATTTCAAAAATTTCTACATGTACAATTCAGTGACGTCGATTACGTTCTTCCAGTTGTGCTGCTATTCTCACTTTAGATGAAACTTTTTACAGAACAAAATAGTTTCTCATTAAACAGTTAGTACACATGTTGTCTATAGGGTTTTTAATGACGGATTTTTCGGAAGTAGATCACCAGGCCTCTGGGGGATTCGAACCTCCAACGTTTTGGTTAGCAACCAAGCACTTTAACCATTTGCGCCACCCAGAGACTCCTACTCTGGGAAAGAGACAAGGAAATTGAAGCACCAAGTAAACAATAACAGCAACAAAACCAAACCCATAGCTGGCGAGTCAATTCCGACGCGTAGCGACCCTATAGGACAGAGGAGAACTGCCCCATAGGATTTCCAAGGCTATAATCTTTATAGAAGCAGACTCCCACACCTTTCTCCTACAGAGCAGCTGGTAGGTTTGAAGCCCTGATCTGTTAGCAGTCGAGTGCTTTAACCACTGCACCACTAGGGCTCCTTAAAGGGCCATGTATACTATAGGAAATATCACTTTTCCTGGGAACCCATCCCCAAGCCACATATTCTGAGCTGATGCTTTACAACATTTTAGAATCATTTTCTCAGAAAATTACAATTTTCCCTTTAAATGTCTAGTTTGTAAAGGATTGCTCCACACTTGAGTATTTTTTATTTTAAATGACATAAGTTCCAGTCCTATTTTTTTAAGTTGGGATAACCTTCTAAATTTATAATAGACAGCTGAGAAAGATATATAAAATAAAGTAATTTAAAGCAGTCTCTGAAAAACACCCCTAGCCCATACATTTGAGGCACTTTCGCGTTTGATAGTTTTGTTCACATCCAAAGACAGAATAATATTAAGCTGGAGTTCGACCTGAATTTCATTTGCATGTTTTTCTCTGTGGTTTCTAAGTCTATTCCTGAGGCTAATTTTTTCAGTTGTTGTTGGGTGTCATTGCGTGCATTTCAGCTCATAGCAACCCCATGTGACAGAGTAGAACTGTCCCATAGGGTTTTCTAGGCTGTCATCTTTACGTTAGCAGATCACCAGGTCTTTCTCCCAAGGAGCCTCTGGGTGGGTTTGAACCGCCCACCTATCGATTAGCAGCTGAGCACTTAACCACTGTGCCACCAGGGCTTCTAATTGTTCAAGCAGGAGCTTCTTTCTGATCTTTTCTGATCAGGAAGTACTACTGATTTTCTCATAGGTATTCTGATAGGTACAAGCGTTTGTGTGTGTGTGTGTGTGTGTGTGTGTGTGTGTGTGTGTTTTCAGTGCTGAGAAGCAGTGCTGAGGTCGGGGACCTCTCACCAGGCCAAATCAAACCAAACCCATTGCCATGAGTTGATTCTGACCCATAGTGACTCGATAAGACAGGGTAGAACCACCCCATAGGGTTTTCAAGGTTGTAGTCTTTACGGAAGCAGACTGCCATGTTTTTCTCCTGTGGAATGGCTGGTGGGTTCGAACTGCCGATGTTTTTGTTAGTAGCCAAGCACTAAACCACTGCGCCACCAGGGTCCCTTCCCACAAGGCGCAGAGAATCATTTCCTGATGGGCTCATGGTCTCCATCTTACATTGGCTAAACCTCTCCTCTCCTCCTTCTGTTGCTGGCGGCTCTCTTCACACGAAATTATAACTAGAAGGGTCTCCATGTTAACTCCCGGCCACCAGGCCCATGGGTGTGCCACCAGGAAGTCGCCAAGTTAAGGGCTGGTGGCACCTTTATTTCATCTCTGCCTTCTCCATCCCTTTTCCCACACAGTCAGCAGATCAACTGATTTCCTGTGCCCCTAGAGCATCTTTCGTCAAGAGGGCTTAGACCGTAGGAATCAGCCATCCCTGAAGAGAGGTGAGCCTCAGACGGGACCTTTCATCTCCTCGGGTTCAGTCTGTTTCCGTTTTGTCTTAGTTATCTAGAGCTGCTGTAACAGAAATACCACAAGTGGGTGGCTTTAACAAACAGAGATTTATTTTCTCACAGTTGAGGAGGCTCGAAGTCCGAATTCAGGGCACCAGCTCTAGGTGAAGGCTCTGTCTCTCTGTTGGCTCTGGGGGAAGGTCATCATCTCTTTTCAGCTTCTGTTCCCTGGTTCCTTGGTGATCTTCATGTGGCGTGATATCGATCTTCCCCCATCTGTGCTTGGTTCTCTGTGCCTAATCTGCTCTTTTTATACCTCAAAGGTGATTGGCTTAAAACACACCCTTCACTGACTTGGCCTCATTAACATAACAAAGAAAACCCATTCCCAAATGGGATTATAATCACAGGTATAAAAACCCAAAGTAACCCCTTGCCATCTAGTCGATTCCAACTCATAGCGACCCACAGATAGAGGGGTTAGGATTTACAACACATATTTTTGAGGGGACACAATTCAAGCCATGACACATTTCCTCTGGCAGGGCTTCCTTTCTGTTCTCCCCAAGGTGTACTTTACGCATGCTGGAGGCTGGGGCCACGGAGAAACGATGCCCTTTTTTGTCAACTCCCTTTTTTTTTTTTTTTTACATTTAAAAAGGAAACATCACTTTTATTGACAGTTAAGGGCCACAGAACAAAAATTTGGAATGCTTCACGAATCTGTGTGCCATCCTTGGGCAGGGCCATGCGAATCTTCTCTGTATCATTGCAACTTTAGCATGTGTGCTGCCGAGGTGAGCACTTCGGTCAACTTCTGAACTCTCTAGAGCCAAGGAGAGGTTTCCTGTTACGTCACAGATACGTGGGGTTCTGCTGCACCGTGCCATGGCCTGCCGGCCATGTCCTAGCTGCCTTATCCTTCATTTTGGCCTTTGCACTCCCTTCTGGAAGGAGCCCTGGTGGCGCTATGGTTAAAAGCACAGGGACAGTTAAAAGTTTGGCTGCTAACTGAAAGGCTGGTGGTTCGAACCCACCCAGCAGCTCTGTGGGAGAAAGACCTGGTGATCTGCTCCCATAAAGATTATAGCCTAGAAAACCCTACGGGGCAGTTCTACTCCGTCACATGGGGTCACTGTGAGTCGGAATCCACTCAACAGCACCCAACAACAATGACTCCCTCCTGAGTTTGGATTTTTGGCCTCATCTGGTACGGCAGTCCCCCTGCACCAATAATGTTCTGCCCTGACTCCTGCCGAGTGGAGGGCACCCTCTGTTCTCTGGGATTGGTGCCAGTTGCTCTTCCTAAGAGCTGAGCCTCATCTCTGACAGAGCACCTTTACAGCCTGATCAGAGACAGGTCGTCTCTGCTGTCTGCCTGACCTCCAGGTCTTGGCCTCAGCCTAGGATCCCTGTCCCTGTGCTCTACCCACTGAGAAGACTCTCTTCCTTTGTCCTTTAATTCCTAAGGCTAACTATTTGCCAAAACTTTCCTAGGAATCCACCACCCATCTGTCTGTCCATTGTACTGTGGGGACTTGTGTTGTTACTGTGATGCTGGAAGCTATGCTACTGGTATTTCAAATACCAGCAAGGTAACTGGTTGACAGTTTGAATCCACCCAGAGTCGCCTTGAAAGCCAGACCTGGCAATCTGCGCCTGAAAGGTCACAGACTTGAAAACCATATGGAGCATTTCTGTTCGGCACTCATGGGGTCGCCATGAGTCAGAATCAACTTGACGGCAACTTACAACAACAAAAACCCATGGTGAACAGGTTTCAATGGAGCTTCCAGACTAAGACAGAGTAGGAAGACAGGCCTGGTGATCTACTTCTGAAAATTAGGCAATGAAAACCCCGTGGATCACAACAGAACATTGTCCGATATAGAGCTGGAAGATGAGCTCCCTAGGTTGGAAGGCCGCAGCAATCGACCTGAGCATACCAATGATCATGAAGATGGCACAGGACCAGGCAACATTTCATTCTGTTATACGTGGAGTTGCCATGAGTTGGAGCCAATGGCAACTAACAGCATCAACGCTAAGAACATAACCTCCCTCCTGCCTCGTTCTGTCTCTGGTACCATACTTTGAAGCCGGCGAGCCTCCCTGACTTGCCCTTGTGGGTGGGCCTGGTCTCTCTCCCCTCTGCCTGCCCTGTGGTGTTGGGTAGAAATCATTATCTTTTGTACCCAGTGCTGGAGCAATGGCAGCCCCTGCCCTTCAGTATGGCTATCACAGGTAAGAACCCATCAACACAGCCTCAGACAGTGAGGTAAGGGCCCAGCCACCTAGCCATTGAAAGGCCAGGCTCCAGTAGCAATATTCTGGGATGTTCCTGGACCAGCAAACAAGAGACCGAAGATACGGCCAACTGGCCAGCAAGGGCCATTTGACACGCTGGTGTCCATGCACCTCCTCCTCCCAGGATCGGCATTCAGAGTTGTATTCAGGATGTCCTGATGCCATTGAGTCCTTCCATCCCGACTCTTTATTAGAACATCTTCTCCCGTCTCTCTCCTGTGAGAGATAATACAGCAGTGCTCTGAACAATAGCCTGATAGGCACTGTTGTCCATGGCAACAAAGCTGCACTGGATGTGACACTCAGTAAATAGCATCAGTCTCAATTGTGTGGATGTGGGCTGAGAAGTCATTCCACCTGGGGGGATGGTTGGGTGGGGGTCCTGCCCCTTGTGGAGATCTCAGTGGATTCCCTCTCCCAGTGGATCTGAATATCTGGATTGAAACTGGCCTCTGTTCATAGAGAAAGAACCTGGAATAGATGCTCCAAGAAGTTACAACCACGAAAGGGGAAGAAAAAGAAGTGCAACTGGCATTACCCATTGCCATCGAGTCAATTCCGACTCATAGCGACCCTACAGGACAGAGTAGAACTGCCCCGTAAGGTTTCCAAGGCTGGAATCTTTATGGAAGCAGACTGCCACATCTTTCTCCCATGGAGCAGCTGGTAGGTTCGAAACGCTGACCTTTCATTTAACAGCTGAGTGCTTTAACTACTGTGTCACCAGGGCTCCCTGAAACTAGCAGTTAGGGAATACTTACCAAGTGCCAAGTTGAGGTTCTTAGATGCATCTTCTTGTGTAATCATTTGACCCTCCCAGTAACTGTGTGAGGTAGATACACTTACCCCATTTGACAGATGAGAAACCCAAGGCTCATGGAGAAGGTAAGGAACTGGTCCAAGGATCTGCATCCTGGCTCCACACTTACAGGCTGTGCCAGTAACAGAAGTCACGGAGTTGACCATGGCAGTCCTAGGTGTGTCAGGGTAGGGCACGAGAAATGCAATGTTTTCATTCTGTAGGTCCCTGCCTTGAGGACTCGGCTTTGACTGTTTTTGGGCAGAGTAAGCATGAGTCACTGGAAGAATAATGCTGTCACTCACCAAACTGGGAGCCCAGGTGGTGTGGTGGTTAAGCGCTCTGCTAACCAAAAGGTCTGCAGTTCGAACCCACCAGCTGCTCCTCGGCAGAAAGATGTAGCAGTCTGATTTCATAAAGACTATATAGCTTTGGAAACCCTATGGGGCAGTTCTACTCTGTCTTATAGGGTCGCTATGAGTCAGAATCGACTCAATGGCAGTGGGTTTGGTCACTAAACTCAGTGGCTGTGAAGGAGAAGCAGGCTTTGGGGAAGATCCTGAACTGTTTGGACATAATGAATTTGAGATAGCTTTGGCACATATCTTTCTTACACTTAAATGATCAAACCTATTGTTGTCGAATTGAATCTGACTCGTAGTGACCCTATAGGACAGAGCAGAACTGCTCCATAGTGTTTCCAAGGCTGCAATGTTGACAGAAGCAGACTGCCACGTTTGTCTCCCGAGGAGCGACGGGTGGGTTCGAACCACCATCCTTTCGGTTAGCACAGCCGAGTTCTTAACCACTGCGCCACCAGGGCTCCTCCTTAAATGACGGAGTATCTCAAAGTGCACTGCACAGAATCTAGCATTAAGTGTTTGTTTCTGGGATTTTCTATTCTAGTCATCATAGGACGTGGATGGTACCAGAAAGCCACAAATGAGATTCAGTGCTGAAAACATTGTCTGCCTTTCGCACAGGCAGGCTGACAACTGGGATAGATCGGCTGTGGCAAGAATGCTTTTTTTCCTCCATTCTTTACTGGCGACTTTTTGTCTTTATTTGACTTCAGAATTAGACAGAAAAAGCATCTCAAGCAACTCTGAGTATTTGAAAAAAAATGCCAAATCACTCCACAGGGAGTTTTATAATTCAGTCCACTACTGACATGAAGCCGAGAAGCAAACAAAGTCAGTACTTTGTTGCTAAGGGGATTAATTAGTTAATATTTCTAAAGGGCTTTCAAGATAAAAACTACTCTGTAAGTGTAAACTATTATTAATGTCACCCGTAGTTCCATTGGCTTTATATTACGTAGGAAGATGTGTTCTTTAGACCAGTTACGGATTCTAATGCAGAAAATAAAAGGAGAAAAAAAAAGAACAAGAATTCACAAAAGAATGAGACCCACTGGTTTTTGTTTATTTTAAAGGAATTTCTCTAACTGTAGAAGACTTTCTTGACATCTTCTCCAAAAAATGAATACATGGCTTACAATTCTTTCTATTCTCTGTGTTGGCATCCTGTTCCCTTGCCTCCTTCATCAATCTTGCTTTCTCTGGGTGAGTAGTGAGTGTTTGAAACCTCAACCTTGAAAAAGGAGAGATGGCTATGGTCTCCTGCTGAATGTCAGACTGCCCATACAGGAAATTCAAATTGTCCAGACTTAAGGGAATTGCAAGGAGACCTGGTGGCACAATGGTTAAAGAGCTCAGCTGCTTAATGAAAGGTCAGCAGTTCGAACCCACCAGTCAAAAGACCAGGCTATCAGCTCTCATAAAGATTTACAACTTAGGAAACCATGCGGAGCAGTTCTGCTCTGTCACATGGGGTCGCTATGAGCTGGAATTGACTCAACAGCACACAACAACAAGGGTCACAGCAGAATATTGTCCAATAGAGTGCTGGGAGATGAACATCCTAGGCTGGAAGGCACTCACAATACACAGTAGCCTCAACAATAAACTCAGACCTACCAACAATGGCGAAGACAGTGCAGGCCTGGGCATGCTTCGTTCTGTTACATATAAGGTCGCTATGAGTTGGAGCTGGCTCAAATGCAACTAACAAAAACAAGGGGATTTTGCCCATCGAAAACAGAAGTCTGGCTGGTGTGCAAATGAGTTCTTGGAAGGTGCCTAGCAGGGGGTGGTCTCCCTCACTCACCCATAAGCACTGTGGGTCTAGTGACAGCACAGCTGGTTGTGACCTGGATAATTCCCAAGGGCACCGGAACAAGAAAGATTTTTTATTAACATAGTATCCAAGGCAGGTAAACTAGAGCGGGATGGGCCTTCATGAGGAGCTTCTTGTTACACCAAATATCAGTTTAAATACTAAAGCATTGGGCCAAGGGGCTTGGGGATTTAAGATGCCAATGACTGGGAAAAGGTAGAACCCTGGAAAAGTTTCAGGCTAATCTTCAGCAGCAGGTGTGGGCTGCCTTCAATTCTGGAGGTGGAGGCTGAAGGAGGGGTCAGCCACGCCATAGGTAACCTCGACCGTTGGAACCTCCTTGGCCCCTGTGCCAGGCCTTTTTCTTCGTTGTTGTTCAATGCCGTCAGGTCGATTCCAACTCGTAGCGACCCCATGTGACAAAGTAGAACAGCCCCATGGGGTTTCCTAGGCTGTAATCTTTACAGGAGCAGATTGCTAGGTCTTTCCTCCCTCGGAACCACTGGGTGGGTTTGAACTGC